GTTACTTAGATTACTAAACAACCACGAAGTTCGCAATTTTTTAAAATCAAATCACAGAATTATACTGACAGATATTTGATTACTTCAAAAGAACGATAAAGATGCCTGCAAAAAGATGTCTACAACGCTGGTGTGATTCCTAAAAATTTCACGTCGATAATTTTCTGATTTTAATGTAATGTAATATCTTTTCAATATTGATTCGTCCTTTTTCCTGTCACAGTGTATTATGCGGAAAAAAGCTATTTGTGTATTTAGAGCGCAAAGTGATAGATTGTCGCTCGACAAAGAAAGTTACCTTTGTAATCTTTGGAGAGCGGCAATAACACTTTGTGCTCGAAATACACACAAGATTTTTTCTACTAACGCAGCTTTTGGAAATAACTACCCTGAAAGTGTGAGCGATTAAAATAGTTGAGAAAGTTCACTGGATTTACGAACATTTCGGTGACAATACATTATGGAATTTTTGCTGAAATTAAAAAAAATGGCTGCTCCAAGATGGCGGACAAGATTTGGTCCGATTCCATTCAAAATTGGTAAGTGGGGGTTTTTGAGGTCGGAGATCATGATTTTTTTGTTAAAATCTATAAATTCAAGATGGCGGCTTCCAAATAATTTTTTGTTTTTGTATAAATGATGATAACTCCGTTGTTATCAACACAAAACTATTACTGCGACATATCATCTGTAAGAGAAAAAAAAGTAATTTATAATTTGGTCATAGTGAGCTATGAACTACATTTGAAAAACTAAAGTTGGTGCTGATATCTCAGATTCTAGAAGAGTTGGTTTAAATTTCATATTTTTTTCGAAATCACTTTGAAAAACCGCCATGAGAATGTGAAATTCCTATTTGAATATTTCCATAAATAAAAAAGTTACGGAAGAGACATGAAAATGATCAAAATCTGTTTTTTGCGTATAAAACAAAAACGAATAGATTTTATCAAAATATTTTTTCACATTATAGTTGGCCTTGACAAACTCCACATTTGGTGTCATTTAACCGACCTCGTATCTCTCACCGTTAAAAAGATACCCATGGTGAGCATGGTAATAAGTGGTACACACTGTATATCTTCAGCGGTGAATGTTTTGGATTTTTCTCGCTTTATATCCAATAGATTGTTTCTTGAGAAATGCGATAAGTTTCAGATACTTATTGATTCCGATATTATCTTTAACATTCAAGCATGTATACGTACCATCGAATATATAGACCAATGAGTTGATGTCTTGAAAGTCTCTGATTTTTTTCCAAAATAAGCCAGTAAAACGTTTTATGAATACATATTCACCATCTCGGAGTGGCATAAATTTATGAATGTATCATATTGTAATTCATATTTCTTCCTTGATTTCTCCGGTAAGAGATTCAGATTTCTAAGCGATAAAAAAAAAAAAAAAAAAAAGGTTACATAGATGAGCGAGCGTTTTTTCAGTATTTCCGCTCACGAGCGCAAATGCTGTCAAAGAATGACATTTCTGGGAAAACGTCAACTTTGTGCTGGAATTTGAAAGCGTCAAAGGCTACTTTGTTAAGCGTTTGTAGAAAAATATATTTTAGCTAACGGTTTTCTGTCAACAACAAAACCTCGAGCCTACTACTTTTTCCCATGGTATAATAAATAACAACGATGTTCGAAAACCACGTAACAGATTACTATGCAACCCAGAATACATTTGCATCTCCCTAACGTGGGTGGAAAAGAGACACCGCATCAAAAATGGTCAGGTGGCACTCAAGCATTGTTGAAGACCCGTATTAGTGATAAGATGTCCACAGCAGCTTCCAAATATGACCTCCATAGGCGATTTTAAATGAATAGGAGCCGTTGACCATTTATACATTCATTACATATCAAGTTAACAGAGTTAACAATGCAGATTTGGTGACCAGCGTAGCCTCGTGGTTGAAGCGTCAATATTCTATCCACGTTGGATTGCCGGTAGGTGGGTTCGATTCCTACTACGACCGCAGAAAGTTTTTGGGATCACACGTTAAAAGGTAAGACCCCCGTCATTCGTAAGAAAATACTCACTGAAAAATGAAGCTTATATGTTATATTTCACAAATTATAGGAGTATATATAAAAATGTCTTAAAAGCATACAAACAACAATATTTTGGAAAAAGAATGGATAATTCCACCGATAAGTGTAGAGAGAGCTGGGCTATTATTAATAATCTCAGAGGGAAGAATAGTAAACCACCCTTAAATACTACTCTGTCTGCAGATCAACGATTATTACTGTTCTACCGCTGAAACCATTTCTATGGATATTAGAGCACCTACGTGAAGAATATTTCTGTAAAAGACTCCTTTTTCTTATCGCCTACTAGTCCCGATGAACTGGAAGAGATATATTGAATGATTTGAAAAATAAACATACGTTTGGATGGGATGAGATCTCAGCTAATGTCTTACCCATCTACCAGATGATGCTATGACTGTTTTAGCAGAGGCAATCAATAAATAATTTTTAAGTGGGATTTTACCGAACTGCCTTGAGCCATAATAAGTCCTTTACCAAAGGGAGGAGACTGCGACATAGTATCAAATCTAAGACCAATTTCACTATTATATATATACCAACATCAACGATGGTGACGCAGTTGCGACAGTTTTTTGCGACCTTTCAAAAGCATTCGACTGTGTTGATCATAAGATTTATGGCTTCAGAGATGTAACACTAACATGGTTCCAATTGTACCTATCACAGCGTACCCAAAAAGTCTCGCTTAACAAAGAAAAGTCCAAGTATCAATTAGTGAAGTGTAGGGGCCCACAAGGATCTGTGAAGTCATCCGATGTTATTTGGCTCTCATTTTTTTTCTAAATGAAAAGCTTCGATTTTCTTTTTTGATTATGTTTATTTAAACCTTTGGAATTTTATTTGTCAGTCGAGAAGATGATATCGGCCAAATAGGCGCCGCCACAATTGATTGCTATGCGGGCTCTTTTTATGGCATTTTTCATCACTTCGGCGAGATCTTCGGGCGACAGATTCTGGCACTCTTGTCGAATGTTGTCCTTGAGAGCTTCCAGGGTCTCAGGCTTGTTCACGTAAACACAAGACTTCAAAAACCCCACAAAAAAAGTCTGAAATCGGGCGATCTTGCGGGCCAGAGCAAATCGCCAAAACGAGAGATGAGGCGATCTGGGAATGCCACCTTCAGAATATCGGTTATGTCTCGCGCAGTGTGTGCCGTTGCTAATACGTTCTGCGGCAGAAAAAACTCGGTAAACATGGCCCTATAGCGCGCACCGTCCACTATTGTCGTTTGAGCAGCGGCGACCTCGAAAAAATGGCCCGATGACTCCTCCAGAGTAAACAGCCACCATGCAGTCACTTTGAGCGGGTGTAATGGCTCCTCGTGCATCACTCGTGGATTTTCAGTGCCCCAGAAGCGATAGTTCTGCTTGTTCACGTACCCGCTGAGGTGGAAATGAGCCTTGTCGCTCATTATGATTTTGGTCGAAAAATCGTCCACGAGATTGAGGATGGCTTGGCTTGGATTATTCCGCTTTCTTGGGGAAGTGTATCGCTCCATGACTTGTTCACTTGTATTCTACATCTGTCTAGTTCACAAATGTCGAAACAGATCTGAAATTGGCCGCCATTTGCAAAAATAAGAGCATCTTCCAATAGGCTGATTTCTTTTGGCCCACCTATAGTATATAGTAATGACCTAGCAAGTATTAAAATTACAGAAAAGTATACTATATGTTCGAAGATGACACCACAATACTGTGGCATAGCAACAATAATGATGAACTGACTAACTATGTCGCTAAGGATATATTGGAAGTAAAAAATTGGTGTGATGCGAATAAATTATCATTCAATATTTCTAAAACATGTATTTTGACGTTCAAGTGCACTCTTAATGGTATATTTTGGGAATTTGTACTCAATCATCGACCAAGTTTTTAGAACTCTATGTAGATGACAGTTTCTCATTCAACACCCACATTACAAATTTATGCAACAATTATTTTCTGGTTGTTTTTTTAGTAAGAGTCATCACATCTGAATTGAATATGTCTGCAGCAAGATCAGTCTATTTTGCCCTGATTGACTCAATTTTGATATGGCGTTTCTATTGGACTCTGTGTTCATTTTACAAAAGAGGGCGGTATGATACCTCAGTAAAGCTGAATCCAGAGAACCATGTCAACCCTCATTTGTGGCACAGAAAATGCTCACATTGGCTTGCATCTTCATTCTAGAGAGTGTATGTATGATCCACAAAAAATATACCACGAACATTCATTCCATGTCGTTATACAACACAAGGAATGTTGACTGTACGGTTTCCCTACTAATTCCTAGAAGTACATCAATAAAAAAATCCATTATTTATAATGTCAAAAAAAATTTTTTAATTCACATATTCGTTCATTGTTAACATATATATAGTTTAGAAAGGCAGTTGAAGAGCTACTATTGAATAAAGCCTATTATACCTTACAAGAATTTTATGAAGACGCATTTAATTAGGCTTGTCAGTTTTTATAATTCATTTTCTAATTGTTCATTATCTTCTTTTTATAGTGTGACTTTTACTAGTATATTTTCGGGTTAATTATAACAGAGGCGGCTATGTCATTATTGACTAGTAGTTAATAAAATGACGAAAACTACCTCGAAACGGAGTAAATAATGGTTGGTTTTATAGCTAGTGCTGGAAAAACTAACTTGTACTCCCGCCGGCGTAAAAATACATATTTTATGCCCCATATATCCCAACAACCCAAAAATTTCATACAAATTGCTTGCCTCCTGCGCAGAAGGATCCAAACTGTCATTCGTGATATCGACTCATGTCACTTGGTGTGTTCGGAAGCATGAGTAACAGTGAGTAAGATTTATGACAGGTCCTAAATACGCAAGTTCCATGGGATCCAGTTCGAACTCGTAGATTCTCTTATGGCATCGGTAGACAAGCTACTAGGTTATGTAGGTTGATTTGATTCATACCAACAGGTAGTCGAAAATGAGAAAAGAAAACCATTGAAATAATAATACAAAAGTTCATATAGATGAAAGTTTATTCGATACATTCCATTTTTCAACACCTTCACCTATACTTTCTGAGGAGCCAGCTCTATTTTATTCCTTTCCACAAATCTCTGGAATTCCTCAAACGATGTTCTAACATGTTTCAATAGTTTTTCTCCGGGCGGGGTATCCTTTTCCCTCTTCAAAATGTCGATGGCCTGCTCCAGCGAGTGTTTGCTTTCCACCATCAGGGCGAGCACGGACTTCACTTTCGTTTTGATGCCCATGTCCCACTTCCTCTTGATTACCGTCCAGTTGGCCAGGAATAATTCGTGGAACAGAATTCCAGTGTAGACCGGTAACCTGAAACATATTGATGCCTCAGCTAATGCATTGTAGTGTTGGAAGAAAACCTACTACCCAGCAAACATCAAATATCTGGCTTTCTGGCCCAGTACATGATAGATCGACAGATTCCTGGCGATGGCCAAGTTGCAATGGTGAAACGTCGGACCATTGTATGGCATATTGTAATCGTTCGCCTATAATTTAGCCGGCACTGGGCCAATAGTGTCAATCCTTATTATGTTTTGACCTACGTCCTACAATCGTCCACCCATTATATGCCGTATTGAAATCGTTCGACTATAATCTAGCAAGCAACGTGCCAAATAGAGTAAGATTATATTTCAGTTTCAGCACTTTCACCCAATCAAGGGGTTCAAACTTGAACGATGGAAACTTGTTTTTTTTTATAGACCTCAATCGCAGATTCGTGATTTATCATACTGCGGAGAACCGGGGGTCTGGGTCAGCTGAATTAATTTTTGAAGACGTTGTGAAGTATCTACAAGAATTTTATTTCATCATTTGACATCCATGTGTGCGATTTCCTCATTCATTAATTAGTTAATTTTCCAGAATGGCAGTTTAATTCTTTCATATATAAATGTTATTACTCACCTACAAGAATGACCAAACACCGATTCTCTGCAAGTTGTTTACCGTCTCGTACAGGTCGGGTATTTTTCCATCATGCTGAAAGACAGCTAGAGTCCAACCAATCCCCAAAAAGGGGAACAAGAACCTGCTCAACAACTACAGGTCCATTGCCCTGTTATCAGTATATAATCTCCAAAGTGATGGAGAAAGCCATCAATATTGAGCTTATCAAATATCTGGAGAGCTCAGGAATCATCAATGATAGACAATACGGCTTTCGCCACCGAAGATCTACTGGAGATCTACTTGCCTACGTCACCCATTTATGGCAATCTTCAATAGGAAAACACGGGGAATCTCTAGCTGTCGCGTTGGACATATCGAAAGCATTCGACCGTGTTTGGCACGAAGGACTCCTCCAGAAACTACCATCATACGGCTTACCACCTCAGCTATGCAATCTCTTATCGAGTTTTCTTTCAGGCAGATCGCTTCACGTGGTGGTGGACGGTGTATCGTCTGATATCATTGGCATCAATTCCGGCGTTCCACAATAAGGATCAATTTTGGCACCAACATTATTTCTGCTTCATATCAATGATCTGTTGGGAGTAATAAACTTGCCCCATCCACAGCTTTGCAGATGAAAGTACCCTCCATACTGCGTTCTCTTCCAGAATTCCCATTTCTTCCCAGAAAACTAAGAACTCACGGCGCAGGCAGTTCAATGCTGTCACTGAAGACCTTGCTGAAATCACAGGCTGGGGAACCAACAACCTAGTTGAATTCAACGCCACCAAAACTCAAGCCTGTATTTTCTCAAGAAAGGCGGAACTCAGTATGCACGATATTGTAATGTCTGGCACCACCATCCCCACCAAGCCCACCATATCTATGCTCGGTATTTCCATCAGCAACACTCAACAGCTTCTCATGATCTACAGAGCGCAAATACGGCCTGTTCTACAATACTGTTCCCACATATGGGGTTCAGCACCAAAACATACGCTTATGCTCTTAGATTCCATCCAGAGAAGAGCCATTCGCTTGGTGGGTGACGCCACACTCACTCATTCGTTGACATCATTGGAACACCGTAGAAAGATATGCGACCTTTCACTTTTTTTATCGATACTTCCACGGGAAATATTCTTCGGAAATCTCGGCTATCATCCCTTCACTAGCAATACCAGTCAGACGAACTAGACAAGCCCAGTCAGCACATCCTTTCGTTGTGAACCTCTAAAGATGTCGAACAGCACTTTATAAAAACTCCTTCATCCATAGAACGGCTAGGCTCTGGAATTCATTGCCTGAGGAAGTATTCCCAACAACATATAATCTCCAGAAATACAAAAAAAAATCCGATACCTACCTCCTATCCCTATCTTCCCTAGGAACGCACGATGTTCTTTGAACATTATAGAGATTTCGTTTCGTGCGCTCCAAGCGATAAAAAAAACACCGTCTTCATTTCAACAACTACGATAGCCAAGTGAGTTACGTGCGTGCGATTAGATGGAGAAATCCGGGGTTCAAATCCCTACTCAACCTACCCGTTTTTTATTTATTTTTCATGTTTTATTTTCCTTTCTCCCTGGAAAATATACTATAGGCGAAACATGCTAAGGAGTACGCCCTCTGTCGTCCTGAATATAACTAACGTATGGGCCATGTAATACTTTGTCTAACTTAATTTGTTCAAATTAGTTTACATGTGTTCCATTTGAGAAGTTATTGAATAAATTTGTTTGAAAATATTCAACACGTCGAAAATATAGCATAATACCGCCTGTAAACAAATATAAACAATCCAGGAATGGCCCATAGAGTAGTACCAGTTTCGCCGTTCTGGCGCTGCGATCTTAATCTCAGTCGCCTCGTTTTACTGTTGGAGCCGATATTGATTCGCTATTTCAACGATGTTTTCCTTTTCAGTTTCGACCGTGAGAGAAGCTCTCGGCCGGACATTTTTTAAGTTCGGAAGTCTCGAAGCAAAGTAGAATCCGTGTGGCTAGCCGCCTGTATCTAAAATTCTATCTCACCTCGAATTCCCCGGATCGATTTTCGAGTTTACGTCCAACAACTCCTTGCACATGGCCGCCTTCCTCGCCAGGCAATCGTCGGTCAATTGGTTCGAGGTGTAGCCTTGCTGGTGGCCGTACAGCTGCACCAGCGAGTGCTTCACGGTGTACGCGTGATAGTGGTTGGGGTGCAGGAACGTCAGCATCCTGCTGAGCAGCGACTCCAGCTCTTTTACGGTGGGGTTGGAGTACTGGAGGTTGTCGACTTCTTCGCCGATGCCGTTTACCAGAGAGACCACCTCCGCGTTAGGGAGTTTTACGTCGCATTTGTCGCAGGCCCATTCTGTATCCTCGTCGAGAGGATCGACTGGTAGTTGTGTGCCTGTAAAAATTTTTCAACTGCTGAACTATTATTCAAAGATATCCTTGAGAAAGATGTATTTCTGCTTGTTTCCTATGCGGAAATGATATCACATTTTGAGGACCTCTTTGAAACCGCTGCTAAGAGGATTTTTTGGTTTAAATACCTCATTTATTTCAGCATGAAAAACTTGAACACAAAACATGAAACATCATAACATAATGATATTCCCAGTAACTCATGACTTATTAGTTATTGTAAGATACATAACAAAATAAAGAATAGGTCAATAAGCCAGAACACAATGATTTCTAGTAAAAATTATATGACGTATCATAGAGAAAAACCCAAAGTCGTCTCCACAAATTCGATAAGAGAAATGCAGTTAGTTCTGCTTCATAACAGTTTGGTGAGACATGTTTCGACCGTCAAACGGTCATCATCAGTCAAAGCATAAAAGTAAATCTGTAAAGGAAAATCATTCAAAAATAACATCTAACAACCATGGATACAAAGAGAAGTGGAAAAAACCAAGTCATATAATACCAAAATTTGATGTGAAGTGAAATATCAAAAGCAAGAAAAAATTATTATCATTATTGTTGAGATTAATATTAATTGAGGTTTGTTACAAAAGATTAAGTAATATGATGAAGGTACAAACAATTTCAACCAATTATCTATAGAAAAACAAAATGGCGAAAAAAGTATGGAGTAAGGAGATTGTACTCACGTGGAAATGGTTATTGCATCATGAAGACGAAAAGTTGTGTATGACAAATTACATTAAACGTTAAAAAATGTTATCTTAGAAAATGTTTTATGATATTTTTGGGGAAAGGCAGAGCCAATCACTCCAAAACGATGTTGTAAACATCCACATTTGGGACAAGGTTGATATAATTATGACGCTTGCTCATTTTTCGAGAAAGGTGAAGCCAAAGAAGAGACAAAGCATCCTGAATTACGGAAGTATTGAAATCAAGGAAAGAGAACTAACTGTATTCGTTATCATCAACAAGTGAAACTAATCTTCAGTGGGATGGCAGGAAACTGTAAAACTTGTTGCGAGTAGTGTATGAACTTGGATGAGTGGAACCTAGACGGCGTGCCGTTTAGGAAAAAGTAACTAGTGCGAGAAAATTTTTTGGAAACCGAGAATGGAAAATCTTTCATAATGTGAGAATTTATAGGAAATTTAGAGAATTGAAAAAAGGAATGCAATCGAATTGAACTTGTTCGTTAAGACATATAATATCAGGATTATCAATCAATTTATTAATTTCAAAAACTTCCAAAATATTCAGTTTTCTGCTTTTTGTACAAACATGTAGAAAATGTGAATCGATATCAGCGTTGAAAGAATGTTTAGAATTGAAAACATGGTTAGAAAATAAACTTGGAGAATTAATGTCGTCGGTGCGGTTTGAATTTTGAAATTTTTCAATTATTTTTGTGTGCTCAGAAATTCTTTGTGAGAATTTTCGTCCTGTTTGGCCAACATAACTAGCAGTGCACCCTGGATGAGAACAACATACCTTGTAAACTCCAGATTTATCAGAAATAGGAATGGAATCTTTAGTGTAATTAATATGTTTCTTCAAATGGCTTATTAGTTATTGTAAGATATATAACAAAATGAAGCATAGAACATTAGGCCAGAACACATATTACTAGAAAAAAATATATAACGATCAAATGGCCTCTTTTGAAGGTTACAGCGCTTTTATGGTGGGATCGGAGAACTGGAGGTAGTCCACTTCCTTGGCGATGCCGAGAACCACCTCGGCGTTCGGGAGTTTCATGTCGCATTTGTCGCAAGCTCATTCTGTGTCCTCGTCGAGAGGATCGACTGGTAGTTGTGTGCCTGTGATAATGTTTCCACTTCTAAACTGGGGAATCACCATTATTCAAGGAATTTCTTGAGATATATTTATTCTGCTTGTTTCCTCTGCGGAAAAGATATCACATTTTGAGGACCTCTGTGAAACCGCTGCCAAGATGATTTTTTGGTTAAAATACCTCATTTATTTCAACATGGAAAACAAAAAAGATAAAAAATGAAACAACATCATAATATAATGATATACCCAATAGCTCATGACTTATTAGTTATTGTAAGATACATAACAAAATGAAGAATAGGAGAATAGGCAAGAACACTTATTTCTAGAAAACAATATATGGCGATCAAATGGCCACTTTGAAAGCATTACAGCGCCTTTATGATGGGGTTGGAGAACTGGGCGTTGTTGACTTCCTTGCCGATGCCGTTTACCAGGAAGACCACCTCCGCGTTTGGGAGTTTCTACAAAGTATATGATGGCAGCTCTGAATATAAGACGAAACGTCGGTTTGAAAATCTGATAACACCATCTTGTGGAACAGAAAAAGTAGCAATGAGAATGTGTGGGTAATTTGTTTTGTTATATCTATTAGCAAAAATAACATTGTAATGATATAAATAATTTTTCATAAATAAACATTATTATTATTATTATTATACCTGTGCAAGGTTCCTGCTCCACCCCGATGCACCTCAGCGCGCTCAAGAACGACCCCAACTCGGTCGGATCGCAGCACCGCCGGCATCGACACGCGAAGTACTTGGTCTCTCTCAAGTGCTCGCGCCGCGCCTGCGTGCCCCACAGGCAGTGCGTGTACATGGTGGTCACGTGGTCGCCGGCGGTCACGGGCAGGGCCGCCCTGACGGTGATCTTGCAATCGGAGTCGAAGGAGTAGACGGTGTTCGGGAGACAGCTGTGTTCCAGGAGGTAGGCGGTGGGGTACAAGGCGGTCACCTAACGTGATAAACGTGATAAACATCATCAAATTGTCTCCAAACAACTGTGATGGTGATATTGCACTTGTCATTTGATGTTTTCTTTCGCAAAATTTGTTTTGTTACTCACGTTTTTTCTTCTGAGAAAACGATTTTTATAATGAAAATGCGTACAAATCACTATTTATTGAGATACTGCATGGAAATTTTGAATGTCGACACTTTTTTTCCGCCCGTCTTGGACAACTATTTTCCCTTCGTTTTTCATAATTACACACTTCATATACTCACGATGTACTATAATGACGCATTTTATTTACAAAAATCAACTAGAAGAATGATTTTTTGTGATTTAGTAAACAATCACACCAGCTGACGGCTATTCAATTATCAAAGACATACGCTACATGTTAAATATGCAAGAATTCACTTTCACCGCCGGTAAATGAGATAACTTCAATTTATTATGAAGTTTCATATCACACAGCCCGTTTCAATCACTAAAGTGATAACAAATATTAAAGAAGGAAGAATATCGGCTGGAGTAACGTTATCACAAGCAATTGGTGTTGAGCTTGTGTTCTCGCACATTTTGTGGACAATTGACCTTCATTTGACATGTCTTTGATAATTGAAAAATTGATTGACCCTCAACCAGTATGATTGTTCACTAAATATGGAAAACTCTCCAAAAAAAATATATTTCTTGTTGATTTTCATGTATAAAATGTGTCATGGAAGTACATCCTAGTATCTATATAAAGAGTCCAATGAAGAAAATAGGAGGGGAAGTAGCTGTAAATGCGTATTGAAGACTAGCGGAAAAGAAGGTGAAATTTCAAAATACATCATGTAATATCGCAATAATAATTAGTGATTTGTTCACATTTACATCACGAAATTCAGGGCAGGGCCCTGACAGTGATCTTGCAATCGGGAAGCATCTAACGTTAGAGAAAAGTTCGAAGCTTCATTACCCTAGATTGGCCACTTTTTAAATTTTTTCTTCGACCATAATCTAAGGCCGATATATTACTCGCTAATGGTTACGCCCAACGTGTTATCGAGTGAGTTCTGTGGATATCATCGCGTTATTTGACGTCTTGATGTTTCGAACTTTGAACACTTTGAATTATTTCAAACATTAAAAATGTGTGTTTGTTTTTCGTATACCTGCAATCTCCTTAAGGAAAGTATAGTCTATAACACGTTTTGAAATGGCTTATTCCAAACTCAGGAACCGTATAGCCCTCGCCTATGGCGCGGGCTATAAACCTTTCGCTCCTTTGGAATATAAGCCATTCCAATTAAAGTACTTCTTGTAGAATGAACTATTCCTTTTCTCTCCTTATATTTTAACACATCGACTCACCTGGCGGCAACTTGAACGTTTCTGAGCGGTTTGTTTTGATGATATGACCAATAAAAACAAACTGAAAACAAATGTGAATCAATGGAAACAAAGTAAACAGGCCGCTTTGAAAATTTTCAACTACTCCGATAGATGGCGTACGCTTATCCTATCGCGAATAATGAAATTATCATATCGGAAACACACAAATTGAGAAGAAGAACGTTTTTACTTCAATATAAAAAATTGTAAGATATATTTTTTCTACCACGACGCTGTCTGAACTTCTCTATCCTCCGGCAATTTTTACCTAATCACAATTTTTCCCAGTACCAAATAAAGAGAAGAAAGCATAATAAGTGCTAGAACACTGTCATGGGTAACAACCAACCTGAATACCCACTGGGCATTTTGTAGGTTCTAACTCATCTAGCACTTAGTTGTAAAATTCAACAATAGCAGATGTCGTAGATTCTCCTTTTTGAAAACAATATTGTTCATTTTGAATAAAATTGTATGTATCTGTAAAACTGGCAATTTTATCTAACATACATACAGAGAAGTGCACAAAAAACGGCCAGGACTGTAACTTTTGAATTATTCGAGATAGGGTTTTGAAAATTGATGGGTCAAGTATACGTAATTGCTCATTTATTGATGAAACAATTTTTCTTCTATCACTTCCAGTTTCACCGGAAACGACCCCAACTTTTGATTTTCAATAGGTGTGACTTCGCAATGTCAAAACTTCTTTCTTTGTCACACTCGTTGAGCATATGGAAACTTAGAATGCGAGTATCTGCGTAATCGTTTGAAATAACCCTATTAAACCCAGTATCGATGAATTCGTTATGACAATCTCTATGGAATACAATACATGTTCCTAATTCGATGTTTTCAGTTTCTCATCGAATTTGAACCCTATCACTCCACTTTGAGCTACAATGGACTTCTACCAACGTTTAAAAATATCTTCATCCGGCACTGGTGCGACATCCCATGCATGAAAACATTTGAAAATAAACTTCGAATATATTCTGCAATACCGATCTCTATCCTTCGCTACTCAACAGCAAGTAGTTTATCTTGTCGTTCATAGATACATCCACCTACTGAGTAGATTTTCTGATGGCTTCATCGCTCTCATAAGGATGGTGCATCTTGTTAGTGTAAATAATCAAAAATAATATTGGAGTTATGCCGTTTCTTATGACTTTCGACCAAAATTTATCAAAGTTGCTCAACACACACTGAATAGGTCGGCGACTACTGCTGTAGGAGAAAAATGTAAGGCAAATAAATCAAAAGTTAAAAAGAAATTTTTATTAAAAAACCTTTTATTCAAACACTCTAAAATCTTCGTCTTCGAAATGGGTGATATACCCGAAGCGTAGAGTTGTCCCAGTTGTCAGCAGACCGAGAGCGGCTGATGAGACCTGGTGGGTCGAAACAGTACTGTCTCGCTCCTGCTGACAATTGGGGCAACTCTGTTCATCCTAGATCTCATACTTATGAGATTTAGCAGAAGAATAAAATGAAATGTTCCTTTATAATGTTAACTATCAACTTATAATCTCATTATACACAATTTATATGATCATAAAAGCTTGTCACGATGATCAATATTTAATTAGATTGAAACCTTAAAAATTTAACTCAGCAGATTTTACAAAATTAAATAAGTACCAGTTTATTCACACAAGTAAATCGTGCGACAAGCTTTTATGATCATATTATTAATTGTGTATAATGAGGTTATAAGTTGATAGTTGAAATTATAAAGAAACATGTTATTTTATTCTTTTTAGACCGTTTAAATTAAAGCTTTTTATAATTTTTTTTTTTTACTTTTCATTTATATTTTAATTTTCCGTTATCGCTGGCTAGGTTTCTCAGTCTGTTCATTTCATTCAACGCATCATTGTTGCAAGGTCGTTTGCCGGTTAGTTTTGAACAGTACAGCTCTTCAAATAGGAGACCTCCAAATTATTTTACATATTATTTTCCTAGTTGCTCTCAACGAGCCCTTTCATTTGATGTCCATAATATTGTAAAAGTGAATTAAAAATAACTATTCGGGGTCACATTATTCTTAGAGTTACTCTCAACAAGTGCTTTCATTTGATAACCATATCGTGGAAGTGCATTGAAAATAACTATTTCGCCATCTTGGATGGTCCGCCATATTGGGATAACAATAACTCCACACTAAACCTTATCGTGCGTTGTCATCCAATCTACACGTGTATACAAAATTTCAGCTCAATCGGTTGAATATATCTACTTCAAAATTGAGTTCAAAGATTCCACCCGAAGTAACATACATACATATATCCATACATTGCAATTTAAAAAAAAAAGCTTTCAACTTTTAATCAATAATAATTTTAAAGAACAAACCTCCACGTTTTGACTGATCTCCAAGCCATTGACGTCGATTATTCCGCAGATTTTGTGGAGGATCTCCCTGGACGATTGCTGCACCACCGTCATTCCGGATTTGGCCTCCAGCATCTTCAATGGCGCGATGAAGTTCGAGAGAAGATAGTCAACGACTCGGTCTTCGACTTCCCTAAAAAATCAAATGAGTCGACACTTTTCTAGTAGGTGAGATGTAATATTGTCTGTTCATTGTAATAACTATCTATGAATCGCCCTCATTATTGACGATGTTTTTTGTAAGCAAGTGATCTCTATTTCGAAATAAGTTATTCATTTGTTATCGTAACCTTAGGAATATTTGGTTGTCCTGTCAAGATTAACAGTTTTGTCAAGTTTGTAAACGAAAATTTCTCATAATGAATCATTTCAATCCTTTCGTGCGCTCCAAGCGATAAAAAAAAGTATGAGTACACAGCATTCATATAGTTTAGTGAAAGCTGGGTGCATGGTTTTACTATGATAGATCAACTCCTACTTGGAATACTCTATTTGACGACGAGGTGAGTCACTTTGACATCGATGAAAAAGGATGCACCTTTTTATCGCTGATAAACTGCCTGCTCCTTTGATCTAGTAGCTATTTGCGCCTGGTGTCACTCCAATTTCTGTCGTGTCAAGTTTGATTGATGGGTATGGTTCACGCGTAAATTAGCAAGAAGAGCCGTTTTAGGGAAATTTTGTCTGAAAAAAACCACGAAAATATGAGAAAATCAATTCCGCAAACTACCACTCACACGGAACCATCAATGAAGGTAATCATTATTGTTCTTCATTTGTATATTGTCGTTGATTCATCTTGCCAAAAATAACTCGAACTTTTTTTTTAATTGGATAAATTTCCTTACTAACTCAAACAGTTTCCAACAGTTATTTCTCTCGAAAAACTGACATCAGCCAAAATTGCTCGACCTACGGTGTCGCAATTTTTTCATGTCAGTTTTTCTCGTGAAATTTTTTATTTATTTATTCAGATGCTAGTTTCACATTTTTCATATTATATGATTACTTATAAGTATAAGTGTATAATGGGAATAAAGATAAATTATAAAATTATTGTTGTGTCCCTCAACTGATAGGAAAACATCTAAGCACTGATATGCTTGTATTATGTATTTCTCTAGCAATCGAAGGACGTGAAAAATATCATTATTATACTCATCTATATACATAAATATTTACATTATCACTTTCAATATTTACTATTTACTATGGAGCCAACTAGAATAAGTGGTCAATCAACGTATAAGTTTAATGTATAACTGGATACATGACAATACAAGAAGTAATATGGATTTATTCGGAAATAAAACTGTTCATTAAATCACTAATACTATTACTAATACTATTACTAACGGGTAAGTGATTTAAAGTGATTAAATTAATTACTGCGAAATATCTGTTTCAATGGTATAAATAAGTATTTTATTTCATTATCATCATTGCCATACTCAATTATCATCATTGCCATACTCAATGCCACTACTACCATTATCACCATCATGCCATTACTTCCAATTTGATTTTATTAGCTCTGATAAGTATTTTTATTTCTTTTTTAAATCTGAATTTACTTTTGGTATTTTTCAGTTGAACTGGTAGCATGTTGTACAACTTCGGACCTAAATAAAAAATGAATCTTTGTGCATGACTTTTTGCAAATAGAGGTACGTCTATAGACTTGTTGACCACAGATCTCGTTAGATGGTGTTTGTTAGTATTGACTTTTGGTTCTGTTATTGAATGCATGTATAGTAAAGATTGGTAGATGAAAAGTTTTTTGATATTGAAAGTTCTAGCCTCCTCATATAATAAAACTGTTGGATGCAGTCTAGTTTTTTTCATACAAATTTTCAAGAGACTATTTTGTGTCGTTTGCAAATTTCGTTGTGCATTATTACTTAGTCCCCCCCAAATCACAATACAGTACCTCAAGAGGGATTCAGCTAGTGAATTATAAATCAACAGCAAGTTTTTCCGGTTGAGAATGTCACGTAGCAAATAAAATTTATGAATTAGTTGTCTGAGTTTTTTATTTATGTAAGCTGCATGCTCATCCCACCTTAGAAATTGATCTACGATGATTTCCAAATATTTAATTTTACAAATTTTTTCGATGATGGGACAGCCACAACTCAGTGGGTCACATGTGATTTTATGTATCTTCAAAATATTTTTTTCTGTCTGATCCAATGTATTCAAACTAAAAGTGATGAACTTACTCTTTTGAAAGTTTAGACTGAGCAAACTGTAATTGAGCCATATATACATGGAGGTCATACTCTTCTCAGCTTTCTCATGAAGACCATTCCAAGAATCTGCACTGAATACAATAGCTGTATCGTCTGCATATGATATGAGGTGGCCTTGAAACTCTTTCAAATTTGCAATTTGATTAATATATACAAGAAACAGTATGGGACCCAGAACTGTTCCCTGTGGTACTCCGCAAGTAACTTTGACAGGATTACTCAATGTATCGTCAACTTTTACTCTTTGCACCCTATCTGTCAAATATGACTGTAAAAGATTTAATGCAGGACCTCGTATACCAACACTATTAAGCCTTTGCAATAATACATCATGCGCAACAATATCAAAAGCTTTGGCTTAGTCAAGAAATACCGCCATGCATTTTTTTGATTTGTCCAAATTAACCACTATCTGTTGAATAAGATCTAATACCGCATTTTCTGTGCTAACATTTTTTCTGAAACCAAACTGTCTATCTGTTAGTACATCATGTACATCAAAAAAGTTCACTAGCCTATTTTTGAGACATTTTTCAAAAACTTTCGCAAAGTTACTGATCAAAGATATTGGTCTGTAATTACACGTACTTTTATAGTCCCCTGCTTTATGTATGGGAGTAACTATAGTTTCTTTCCATTGACTTGGGATTATACCATTTGCAAATGATAAATTTATAATGTGAGTCAGAGGTTGGGTAATGTCACTATGAATAAGTTTCAGCAATTTAACTGATATGCCATCTGGTCCAGCTGAAGTGTTGTTTTTCAAAGTTCCCATTTCCGTGATCACTTCATTGTTAGTAACGGGTTTCAGAAATATCGAAGATAGTACATTCTGTTTAGGCACGATTCTGTTCAATGCGGGGTTATCGCTATTTTTTTCTATCTTTGATGCCCTCTCATTTCCTATATCCACAAAATAGCCATTGAAAGCGTCGGCTCTTTCTTTATTATTTGTCAATTCAATGTTGTCTTTGCTCATTATTTTTATAGTACCCAGATCTTTATTCGTAGATTTAGAATTCGAGGCGCAATTTATTATTTCCCAAATTTTCCTGTAATTATTTCCGGCTTCTTGGATTTGCAATTTGTAATATTCATTCTTCGTCTGTCTTAGTAGATTGTTCAGATTATTTCTATATTGTGTGTATGATGCTTTTAATTCAACTGAAAAATGTTTATTCAATCTTTTTTTCAAATTGTCTCGATGTTTAATTGCAGTAATTAGTTCGTCGGTAATCCAGGGCTTGAGTTTTCTATTACAAGTTTTAATTTTAATAGTTTTCGTACAAGAGTTTACTAAGCTTTGAATTTTGTCAATGAACATGTTATAAGTAAATTGAACATCACGAGAATTCAGTATTGCCTCCCATTTTTCTTTGTGGACAAGTTTTTTTACCTTGTTGAAATCAGTTTTTTTCATTAATTTTTGATTATTTTGCATTTGAATTTGGTTTTGGGAATTCACAAATTTAATACTCAAAAGAGTTGAATAGTGATCGCTCAAGTTAGTTTGAATGACCATTGGTGTCAAAATCACCGATTTAGTAATCTGTCTGGAAGTTCTAACGAATATATGGTCAATAACTGTTGCAGAGTTTTCTGTGTCTCTGGTAGTAGAGTTGATATATGATTCAAATCCATTCGCATTCAAGGTATTTACATAGTTGTTCACATCAGGTGAAAGTTTGTCCATCAAATTGAGATTGATATCACCCAAATATATTTCTATTTGATGTTTTTGTAAGTTACTAAGGCATTCGACCGTGTTTGGCACGAAGGACTCCTCCACAAACTACCATCATACGGCTTACCACCTCAGCTATGCCATCTCTTATCGAGTTTTCTTTCAGGCAGATCGCTTCACGTGGTGGTGGACGGTGTATCGTCTGATACCTTTGGCATCAATTCCGGCGTTCCACAAGGATCAATTTTGGCACCAACATTATTCCTGCTTCATATCAATGATCTGTTGGGAGTAACAACTTGCCCCATCCACAGCTTTGCAGATGATAGTACCCTCCATACTGCGTTCTCTTCCAGAATTCCCATTTCTTCCCAGGAAACTAAGAACTCACGGCGCAGGCAGGTCAATGCTGTCAATGAAGATCTTGCTGAAATCACAGCCTGGGGAACGAACAACCTAGTTGAATTCAACGCCACCAAAACTCAAGCCTGCATTTTCTCTAGAAAGGCGGAACTCAGTATGCCCGATATTGTGATGTCTGGCTCCACCATCCCCACCAAGCCCACCATATCTATGCTCGGTATTTCCATCAGCAACACCCTTTCATGAGATAATCATGTCAGATCCATCGCAAAAGCTGCTTCACAAAAACTCGGATTCTTGTTCCGTACGAAAAGCTACTTTACACCTCAACAGCTTCTCATGATCTACAAAGCGCAGATACGACCTGTTCTAGAATACTGTTCCCACATATGGGGTTCAGCACCAAAACATACGCTGATGCTCTTAGATTCCATCCAGAGAAGAGCCATTCGCCTGGTGGGTGACGCCACACTCACTCACTCTTTGACATCATTGGAACACCGTAGAAAGGTCGGCGACCTTTCACTTTTCTATCGATACTTCCACGGGAAATTTTCTTCGGAAATCTCTGCAATCATCCCTTCACTAGCAATACCAATCAGACGAACTAGACAAGCCCAGTCAGCACATCCTTTCTTCGTCAACCTCGAAAGATGTCGAACAGCACTTTATCAAGACTCCTTCATCCATAGAACGGCTAGGCTCTGGAATTCATTGCCTGTGGAAGTATTCCCAACAACATATAATCTCCAAAAATTCAAAAAAAAAATCCAATACCTACCTCCTGTCCCCATCCTCCCTAGGAACGCACGATGTTCTTTGAACATTATAGGGATTCCCTTTCGTGCGCTCCAATCGATAAAAAAAAAAAAATTCATTCAACTCAGTTATATAGTTGTTCGCATTTATCGAAGGTGGACGATATGATGCTGTGAGTCCTATTTCAAGCTCATTGATTTCCAGAGAGAGTCTCAATAAAATTGTATCCGTCATAACATGATGAATAGATGTGGCATTGATAGAATTTCTGACATAAACTAAAACACCATCATTTTGATTACCACAAGAATTGTTGTAGAATGAATTGAAGTTCGGTATATTAAAATCACTTACCCTGTTGATCCCCCATGTCTCAGATAGGACTATGACGCTTATTTTTTCTTTCACTGACTCCAGATACACTAGTAATTCTTCAAAATTTTTCCTAATACTTCTTATATTGAAAGTTATGATAATTAGCTCATTATCTATATCTCTACTCAGACATTCATCAAAATGTCTGTATACTTTTGTTTCAATTCCATGTTGCTGATCCAATAAATCAATCAACTCCATCATTAAGGAATCTTAATTTTATACTAATTATATCGATGTAAGATAGTTAATAATAACTGAATGTATATATGTATTAAATATACAAAGAAAAAAAAACAATTCTAAGAACGGAAATATGAAAATAAATGTGCAAAGCTACGAATAGCAAATTCTATAATAATGTAATAATGCTTATGTGAAATTAAATACCAGACAAGTGTTACTCAAAAGTATTGAATTCATATCTTAAGATTATTCAAGATCAAGCGAGGAATTTATAGTTTTAATTTGGTTGTTCCTTTTAATGATTATTTTGCCGTTATCGGTCCATACACTTTTCAAATCCAGTTTTCCAATTGCTTCATCCATAAGTTTGAGTCTTATCAGCGTTAGATCTTCTTTAATCACAACATTAGTACCCTTGAGCAACTTCTTATTACGAAATATTGTGTTTTTAGCGTGCCAATCTTTCAATTTCAGAAATACGCCCCTTGTTTTTCCATTTGTCCTTTTTCCAATTCTGTGACATGTTTCGATATCGGTTGGCATTATATTTGTATTCATCTTTGTGTTCAAGAAGGCCATTATGACTTCCTTGGTATTCTCATTATCACCTTCTGCAAGGCTATATATTCGTAAATTACACTTTTTTGATTCTTGTTCAATAAAATCAATTTTCTTTAGAAGGTTTAGGTTTTCACCCTGTAGATGTTCAAGTTTCGCACCCATTTCGTCCGACTTCTTTTTATTTTCATTTTTCTGCACGTTGATCTCCCTGGTTAGTTCGCTTAGATGCTTATCATATTGTTTCAGCTTATCATTGAAGTTTTTTGTGATTTCTACTGAAACTTTATCAGCGATAGTTTTTAAGAAGTCTTGATCCATCCACAATTGTTTTATCGTCACGTTCACTATGGTTTTTAACTCATCAGTTTGTTCCCTTGTTAACGGCATTGTATTGTATATATTATATTATTCCACAATTTTTCAAGTAATTCTGCTAGATCAAACGTTGCTAGGCAATGGATTTGTATAGATTCACAATATTCATGCAATATTCGTACTTTATATCACTTTCCACTTTCTGAACATGGTATTTAACACTTTTAAGTAAATTTACTACAGGAGCTCACTACACACGTCTACTCCATGTGAACTATAGCAACAGCTTTATAGCTTTCGAATTACTGATCGGCAAATGTTTTTCGTTACCCCATTAAAAAAAAAGCTCTTGTGTTTTTACTGTTGATAAAATAGCTCGATTCATTAATGCTTTCTGAATTTGAGTAGGAATTGGAAATGTATCGTTGTGATAAAACATTAATATATGAACAACCGTCATTTCGGATTTTGCCTACAGCATCTTCAATGGTGCGATGAAGTTCGAAAGAACATAGTCAACGACTCGGTCGTTGACATTGAAGAAAATATATATAAATAGCCCTTATTGACGATATTTTTGAATGCCAGTGACCTCTATTTTTACCTGAGTTATTCATGTTTTTATCGCTTGGAGCGCACGAAAGGAAATTCCTATAATATTCGTGGAACACCGCGCGTACCTTGAGAGGTCAGGGAGAGGAGGTAGGTGTTTTTCAACTTCTGGATGTAATAAGTTTTTGGGAATATTTCCGTTGGCAAAGAATTCCAAAGCTTCGCCGTTCCACAGTGTGTCCGGAAATTATGCGTCAAAAAGCAAGGCGTTGATTCTGCAAGAGAAAACATGAAACTTATTTCATATACAGGGTGATTCACATAAGAACCGACATAGAGCAGGGGCATGTAGGGGGTCCCAAAATATGTCAATTTGACGCAACTTACCTCTATACCAAGTTGCTTCCCTAAGGAGATATAGGCTTTGAAAGTGAAGCTATAAATTTTGAAAAAAATCAATATCTTCGTTATTCTTGAACTTGAAGCAACCAAATTTGTTACACTTTGTGGATGTATTTAGGGCGTTACTTGACTAGACTAGAGTTTGATTGAAATTTGTAAAGGGGGTATACCGGGTGGCGCACCATCAATATTCAACATAATTTTGTTATCCCTTGATGGATTTCGAAAATCTTTGCTTTGTTTTGTGGGCAATTTAATTCTGAAACTTTTCTTACTCTAGTAATTTTTCGAAAAACTTCATCATTTTGATCAAAAACTCGAATAACTGAAAACGCGCGCTCTAGGTGTGTTATTTAAAATCATCGAAAATTCAAAAGTTGGCTATGAAAATAAACGTCAAACTTGACAATGAGGCAAGTGAGTTGTTCAATTAAGTACTTTTTGTTTGAGTGTTTTTAAAATGAACGGGAAGTTTTCTTTAAACGAGCAAGTTGACATGCTGTTAGTGCTATGCCTATAACTCCTTAGGCAAGTAACTTGGTATAGAGGTAAGTAGCGTTAAATTGCCATATTTTGGGACCCCCTACATGCCCCTGCCCTATGTTGGTTGTTATGTGGATCACCCTGTATACGTGGGTCCGAAAATGCATAGTTTTCAAGATACAGTGTGTTGAACTTTTTAGAAAAAATCGTTTTTTAATGAATATCTCAAATATCCTTCCACCGATTCTCATGAAATTTCGCAATGGAAAATTGGAATTGTGAAATCCAGTGGTGTCCCGGGGGCACCCTACCGAATATTATTGTCAATAAAATGTGTGCCAATAATTTTTTCAAATTTTATATCTTCGTATCCTAGTGATTAACTAAAAATACAACATTTTGGTCACTTGAAAACAGGGGTGAAATTAAATGTGTGATCCATGTCCATAAACGTAGAATAAGACTAAAGATTCATTTTCTTCAAATATTTTAAAATACAATATGTTTGACACTTTGTATTTTCTAAAACTACACCTTCCTGGACCGAGAATACATAGTTCTCAATATACAGAGTGTAGAGTGTGTCAAAATTAATCTTCATACTTATTCTATGTCTATAGACATTGCTCACGCATTTATTTTCACCCCAATTTTTGAGGGAATTTTTTGGCACAAATGTATGCAATAAATTGGTATTTATTTTATCCCATGAAAATGAAGCAAATTATCTAAATAATCCAAGAGACGTAAATGTTATGTTTTCACTTCGTCAATAGGTTATGAAGATACAAAATTCAAAAAAATCTGTGGCGCACATTTTATTGAAAATAATATTCGGTAGGTTGCCCCCCGGGACTCCACTGGATTTCATAATTCTAATTCAATTATAGCTATATCAGCCCCTCATGACAAAAAATATCATTGCCAAATTTCAAGAAAATCGGTGGAAGGACATTTGAGATATTCTGATATTCATATAAAAACCGATCTTTTCTAAAAGTTTTAACAAACTGTATGTTGAAAACTATGCATTATCGGACTCATGTACACATGAATTGAATTTCTTATTTCATCATATAGAATCACCCCGTTGATTTTTCCGGACACCCTGTATAGATGACCGAGTTTTGGTAGTGTTGTTCGACATTTTCCAAGGTTAACGACGAAGGAATGTGCTGACTGGACCTGTCGAGTTCGTCTGACTGGTATTGCTAGTGATGGAATTATAGCAGATATGTGGAACATTTCCCGTGGATGTATCTATAGAAAAGTGAAAGGTCGCCGACTTTTCTACGGTGTTCTAATGCTGTCAGAGAGTTGGTGAGTGTGGCATTACCCAATTGCTGCTGAACCTCATACATGGGAGCAGTATTGTTAAACTGGCTGTATCTGGGCTTTGTAGATCATGAGAAGCTGTTTAAATTTTGCTTATAAACAGACAATATTATATCTCGCCTACTAGATTGACTATGGCTGAAGTCTCACCTGTAAATATCAGTCCCCTCTGCCCGTTTGTCCAGATGCGCCTCCATTTCCATCAGTCTTGCGAACTTTTGTGGCTTCCTGCTCTGCAGCAGCAAACACCTGTATAACAGTATATTATGTATTTTTTTTTCTGCTATGAGATAGGAATAATTATCTGGGGGCTCAAGTCATGGGTTGAATAGTTTTTCTATTTCAAAAAAATCATCAGGATACTTTTCAATATGATTCTTGCAGGGGTATTTTCGATTGTATTTGCAATCTATATCTTTTGAGCTAATTAAATTCATTACCAAACATCCAGGAATTTATAAAATCACGAAAAACACATCTGTGATACAAGACAAAAGGAAGGTTTCTTATATCCCATCCATTCAAAATACATTTTTTATGAACGTAGTACTATCTATAGCGCAATGAAATTTTATAATAACATCCCACAAGATTGTTTTATTGAGATCAAAAGTGACACTTTGTTTGACAAGCTCGGCTTTGCTAAACGCTCCGCCTCGCAAATGCAAAATTCGAATGAATCATGCTATTTTTTCTGCGAATATGTGAAGTCACCACGAATCCCGTGCCATATGTATGCAATGCATCAAATAATCCGTGTGGTGAGTTTATTCTACGATACCTGCATTAACAACAGGCTTATTCAATTTTCAAGAATGTTCGAATTGTAGTTTCAATATAAATATCACCACAGAGTGACATATTTGTGTATGGCTTAGTTTTAATTATATTATAGGGAGATGAAAATTTGTGTATATCATGAAGAATGGCTGAAAGAATAACTGGACTTCAGGTTACTGATGAGGATATGATATTTGAAATGAATTCATATAACCTGTTTGTGGAATATATAATTCCCATATCACTGATACGAATGATTTTTTAAGTTATATTTTTATATCATAATACATAAAATTATTTTATTTGATTTGATAGATGACGTTAATTCTCAATTTCAGAGGATTTTGATTTTTCATGTTATCTTTTTTTGGATATTCAACAGATATAATTCAATGTTCGACGTGGAAAATAGCCAGGAAAGTAGTTGTTTTCAGATGAATATTCAGAATTATATTATATGCCTATCTTTATATGAAGAAGAATGCAAATTCTCTACTTCGGCAGATTTTGTTTTCAAATTCTTATCGTGTGTGTTGAATAAATGTTATTCAATATTCGTCGTGGCATATCGCCAGGAAAGTAGTTGTTTTCTGTTGAATAAACCGAGAAAGAATTCATATATTCATCACAATGATAATGCGAATTCTCAATGTATTTCTTTTTTTTGTATTCATAAATATATCTGAGAATGTTCCTTTTTGTATCTATCTACCTCAGAGCCAGCAGAGCATCTTGCCGGTAGAACTCGTGGAGGCCGTCCACTGCCCTGGTGGCGCGTATGCCCAGGACCAGGCATTCCTGCCCGTGCCTGTTCAGGTCTTGCAGCCCCGGGCAGTCTGGATTGCATACGGGGAAGTCGCAGCCCTTGCATCGTGCCGCTTGCTGGCCAATGATGAGTCTGAAAAAAAGCCAACGTTAGGAGAAGTGGGTTTTTTATGACTCGGTGGAAGATATGCGTCAAGCTTGTATGGCCAAATACTTCTAAACATCTACTATAAGGCGAGTCACTACACCTTTTTCAATTGTAATTCAGAAAGCGTCAATTGAAATTCAGATTGGTCAATTGTAATTCAGAATGCATAACATGTAATTCAGATTAGTGAAACGTAATTCAGAAAGTGTAACTTGTAATTCAGAATAGTCAATTGTAATTCATAAAGCGTATTTTTTGAATTGACTCGGCCGTTATACTTGATGGAAATCCATGGCAAAATGTAAAAACTTCACAAACGATAAGATTTCCACAAAATTCTCAAACACACAACATGTTTCGCTAACACAGTAGCTTCGTCAGGTGATATACTGGTACAATGAACTGAATCAACGTTGGCTTGCCTAACTTCTATATATCCTACTTTCCCAACTTGAAGGATTAATTACCTGTGGACAGGATCGATAAACCTCCATTTTCGGATATTAGGCACAATATCTATATTAAATTAGGGTTATACCGGATTAACTTGAAAGGGTTGATAGCAAATAAATATTATTACCTACTAAGAAAACAAATTCAACAGTGGTGAACTATTGGGGTCTAATTGATCGTTAAGTAAAATGTTAAAATTTTTGAGTTTGTTGATTTCTAATGATTCAAAATGATTGAGTGTCATTCCTCTATTTTCTACATGTAGAATTTCGAAATTATCATCAAAACTATGGTTTTCTTCTGATATATGGTTGGCGTCGTATGTTGAATTTCAGGTAGTGGAACAACTGATGGTGGCGGAGTGCTATGATGCATGTAAAATTACGAGATGCTCTACAAGTGTTTAGTTATAATTGAAAATTGGTAGGAAACTAGTTCATAGTATAAAAAAACGGGAAAAATTGGTCAGACTCGATGGTTGTGGAACGCGGCGAGTCAGCATCCCACATAAGTTGTCGCCGGAACAATGTCGGTGCAAGAGTTTAGGTATGACCGAAAATTCCTGTACTGCTTCATTATTATTAATAATGTAATGAAAACATAGTCAGACCACAAATTGATGGAACAGAGGTAGTCAGCACTCGCTCAAAGCACAGAATCAATGTGAGGATATATGTCGAGTACGCGCGCGGTTCTTCGGAGGGCGTAGCCCAGCGAGCACAAAAACATCTCAGAGATGTTAAAGGTAAAGTACGAAATTTCGAGACATTGAACCTCCACTGCGATGTTCTGTTCACACATGAATAGAACTATTATAGAACAGCCAATGTCCGCCGCAGGCGGACATTATCGAGATGTCCTTGATATGTCACAAAACTACCTTATCCCTAGTTCTTTTTAAAGCCTTTTCATGGAAACAACAGAACATTTTTAACGCGTCTTGCGCACATTAAATCGCTGTAAAAAAACATTTTCGAGGTACTTTTCTCAAGCCTTTTGTCAAAATGAACTTTTGCATTAGGATTCCATTTCCCTTGAAGGAAAAAATGCATTAAAAATAAATTGAACATAAAAATATTTTCTTGATATGAAATTACCTTCTTAATCGGTTTCTGAGTAGTGCTTACTACGACAGACATATAATTGCAAATAGGTTTCCCAATTTTTGAAATGTTCTCCACAATGCATAATTTTGCATTTGCGGAGAAGCTGTGTATTGATGAATTCGTACTTTTATATATTGATTATACTGAGGCACCGAACAACACATCTTGCATCTGATGGTCATTATTACAAACTAAATAAGTCTTCTAACACAATAAACTTCACCAAATTCCTTTCTGTTCGTTAGCAGCGTGATGTAAGCGTGACACTAAGATGACTACAATTACGTGACACGCTGCAAACGCGAATGCCAATTGCGAACATGAAGAACAAAATCGAAAACAAATCAGAATTCATCGTATTGTGACGTAAGCATGAGACGTTGTGGTGGGGCAAACAAAGAAAGGACACAAAAGAACAAAAACAATACTTTCAATATCCTTCTAAGATCTCTTTGGGAAGTGCATATTACGCCTCAAAAAAACATCCTTATGCCTACATTTCTAAAACATCCCAAAACATCCCAGGGATACCTCTCAGTAGGCAAACAAAGAAATGCCACGGAAGAACAAAAACAATACTTCAATATCCTTCAAAGACCTCTTTGGTCAGTGCATATTACGTCTCAAAATAACATCTTCATGCCAATATCTTCAAAACATCCCAAAACATCCCAGGGATGTTTGTGCTCGCTGGGTGAGACAATATTGTATACATGAAATTTGGTACACTTTTTTTATGCATCAGGGTGCATTCTCTGATTTACAAAAGTTTTAATTTTCTCCACCAGTGGCACTGTTACGGGAATATTATTGTTTATATTCTACTTAAAAGTGAGCAGAACAAAAAATTTCCAAATTTTATACAATGTCATAAAAGGCTATTTATTAATGTGCAAAAAATACCCTCCTTGTTTATACTTGATAGAACATTTCGTTTTCAAGAAAAAACGGAAAAACGAGACCAGACTTCAAATATTGATGTCTGATGAGTACTCCATTCAGGACATCCATTACTAGATAGCCACAGTATGTAACATCGTGAAATTTGTATACCGATTCAGTCACAAAGCAGACTGAATTTTGCCATCACGAAAAGCTATACAGGGTGGACAAAAAAATAGTCTGTGCATAGTCTCAACATTGACACCCTGTATCTCAAAAGTTAGGACGTTTACGACATACGTTCATATGAAGTTTTATTCTTGAAATGGGTCGAATATAGACGTTATTTCAGGACACCAATATACACGATTGCACAGGCTGACTGGCAGAAAAGTCATAGCACTGTCATTCATTATCCGATTTTCAAAAATAAAAAATCAAATAAAATGACTCATCAGTTAGGTACTGTAAGTAGTAGGCTCTGATCATGAATTTGTAAATTTTTCTTATCTAAATTTTCTTCCCAATACAGTGATATACAGTGTGTCCATTTAGTGCGTAATTCTTCGATATCTCGGAATCAATTATCGCAAGAGAAGAACATTGAAGAAAAAACTCTTTCAGTTACTAAAGTTGCTCATTCCGAAAATATTTCCAACAATACTGGGTGTTTTATAAAAGCGGGGCAACTCGAAGACGAGTTTTTTCAAATGGAACACCCAGTATTGTTCACTCGAAATTTATTCCGCTCAAGTTCAGCTCTACATCGCTGTAAAAAAAATTGAATCTGATTGCGGCATGGAACAACCTGTATTTTTCATCACGGATTTATTTCGACATCATTCGCCTTCTCATCGCAGAAGAAAAAATCAAAATCGGTTGCGGCGATTTCAAGTTATGAGTAATTTCCTTACTTTTACAACTATTTCGGGGTAATTTGTACGTCATGATGGTTTCTTAATTAGATTTGAGTGTGGGAATATTGCTTGCCACATGACATTCGAGGTTCTACATAGATCATTCAGGTATTTTAGTGATATGTGCATCGTCCAAATTTGAAATATTCCGTAATCTTGTTACTTATGATTCAAATAATATGTGAAACAAACAAACATGCCAAAAGCAACGCCTGTCTTCAAAATAACTTCTACAATACAAACAATGAAGATGCGGATTGCGAAAATTAGGACAATTTTTTGAAATTTGGGCCATTTTTATTGTCGTTATTTCCACAATCCAAATCTCCATTTGACTTGAAGAAGGTAAACATAATGATACAAACAATATGTCTCTACTACGCGGCTTTTGGGAGGGAATTCAGCAAAATGTCGAATCAATCCAAGATATATTTGATTGTGACGATGTTTGACAGGTCATTACACAAATATTTCGAAAAAAATCAAACTTGGAGAGCCTGTAAATGTTCCTTTTGTAAAAAATATATGACTGGTCAATGAACAAATTTGATTATACCTTAGCAACGCAATATTTCCACAATACAAATTAATGAAAGAACTATGACGTACAAATTACCCCGAAATAGTAGTAAAAATAAAGAAATTAACTATAACTTGACAACGCCGCAACCGATTCCGATTTTTTTCCAGCGATAAAAAGGCGAAAGATGTCGGAATAAATTTTTGGATAAAAATACAGGGTGTTCCATTTAAATAATTCTGATGAATGTCATCTGAATCTTGCAAAATTTTAAATGCAAAATTGAGCACCCTGTTGAAGAACATGTCGCAAAATTACTGGATTGGTATACCTTGGACCTTGCTTCTACCGTATGCCAACAATATTTTCAAAATTTGAATGAATGAATATACTATGCCCAATTCAACATAACTCTTCAATAATGGTAACAATAGATTTATCAATTATAACTTGGCAACGCCGCAACCGATTCCAATTTTTTTTACAGCGATGTGAAGGTGAACCTCGGCGGAATTAATTCCGAATGAACAATACTGGGTGTTCCATTTAAAAAAACTCTTCTTCGAGTTGCCCTGCCTCTATAAAAGACCCAGTAATGTTGAAAATAATTTTGAAATAAGCAACTTCAGTAACTGAGAAAGTTTTTTCTTCAAAGTTTCTCTCTATAGGTTATGGCTTTCGAGATATCGAAGAATTACGCACTAAATAGACACACTGTACATTGACGGCTCGTGCTCCATTCAACAGGGGAGGCTGAGCCTAGCCAGTCGATGCATAGATTTCGGGAGGATGTAATTCTATGTGCTGCGTGGCATTAGCCAGTAAAGAAGTTGTTTTTTTCCCAAAATCTACCATTGTTGTTCATTTTATGAACGATGTGTGGAAATGACTTTGAGCTTTTTGTATTTATTTAACATTTCATTCCACTTTGAGCATTGTGGCAATTTCATAGTTGACATACTTTCATCTTCAACCTCCAAATATGTCGAACTCTAAACTAAAACTCGTTTGTATATATAGAACGGTAAAGCTTTGAACTCCTTTGCCAGAGGAAGTATTCCCAAGAACTTATAATCTGTCATTGGAGAAACAAGTTAGAGGGGGGCGACTGCTGGACCATTCCAGGATACTGTGTGAAATAAATAATCACCAAACTCTAGGAATGGTTTCCGCCATGTTGGATACTCAGACACACGTGAAAAATTCTTTCAAAGTCCTCTTCCCAAAGAGAGACAAGTGGGTAAGTGGATCAGTCCAATTCCCAGAGACCGAACACGAAATGTACAGAGATGGTTCGAAAACCCCTCTTGGAGTTAGAGCCGGTGTGTTCAGCAGAAAACAGAAGACGAAAATCTCTGTCGATCTCGGTAAGTATGCTACAATCTTTCAGGCGGAGGGCTTCGCAATTGAATTGTGTTTTATAGTGTTGACGAATAGACCTCTAGTAAACAAGAACATCAGCATTGTATCAGACAGTCAGGCTACTCTTAAAGCACTGAGCTCCAGCAAGATAAATTCCAAGCTTGAATGGAGCTGTATTGAATCCCTAGAATGCCTGGATGCCAACAACAGAGTTTCTTTGGTGTGGGTTCCTGGACACCAGAGGGTGGAGGGCAACGAGAAAGCCGACATCTTCGCCGAACAGGGAACCGAATCTGTGTTCATAGGACAGAACCATACTTTGGGATCACCACAAGTGTGGCCAAAACAACAATCTCGGACTGGGCGGAGGGAAAAAGACTCACGTACTGGTCTGAATTACCAGGATTAAACCATTCGAAGGCGTTTCTGCCTAAATCATCGAAAAATATAACCAGGCAGATCCTAGAATGGAGCAGGGGTAACCAGCGAATTCTGACAGGACTGCTTACGGGACACTGTCGTCTAAGATACCATCTAGGAAGGATGGGTCTGAACCAACAAACGAACTGTCGATTCTGCTGTGTGGAAGACGAAACGACTGAACACATGTTATGTTCATGCTCTTACTTAGAGAGACTAAGGTTCGACACATTTGGCTTCACCAATTTAGAACCTATCGATTTCAGACAAATCTCACCTGATTCAACCATAAACTTTGTAAAAAGATGTGGATTGTACAGTGAACTGTAACCTCTAGGGGTGAGCCACAATAGACCCAACTGGGGTCGTAGTGGAGGGGCGATATTCGCCCCACTCACATTGAACCTAACCTAACCTAGGACAAGATCCACAGTTGAGTTATTATACCCCTGATTTTTATTCAACAAACGCCAACCATATATCAGAAGAAAACCATAGTTTTGATGATAATTTCGAAATTCTACACGTAGAAAATAAATGAATGAAACACAATCACTTTGAATCATTAGAAATCAAGAAACTCAAAAATTTTGACATATTACTTCACGATCAATTAGACCTCAATAGTTCACCACTGTTGAATTTGTTTTCTCAGTAGGTAATAATATGTATTTGCTATCAACCCTTTTAAGTTAATCCGGTACACCGTATTTTAATGTAGATATTGTGCCTATTTTCTGAAAATAAACGAGGTTTGTCGAACCTGTTCACAGGTAACTGATCCTTCAAGTTGGAAAAGTAGGATATATAAAAGTAAAGCAAGCCAAGGTTGGTTTAGTTCATTTGTATTAGTATATCACCTGACGAAGCTACTGATGTGTTAGCGAAACATGTTGTGTGTTCAAGACTTTTGTGGAAATTCTATCGTTTGTGAAGTTTTTACATTCGCCATCATCAAGTAACGGCCGAGTCAATTCAAAAATGAATTCAAAGGTTCAAAATAGTCATCGTCATTTTAAACATACAATTCACACCTCATAATAATTATGCTTTATGACTTCAATCCAAGTTTAAATTCATATTTTGTTCCATTTATAAGGAAACTATATCTATGGACCAGGCTATAGCATATGAATATTCCGCTTCAAGGCATAATTTTTCACTAATATATCAGTGGACTATACAGTCTGTCCAAGATAAGGTTGAACAGCATGGGGATCTCGAAAACGGTAGGAGATACGAAGTCATTTAAATGGGGAAAAAGTTGCACATTCGGAGGCTTATATCAAGAGCCTTCGGAAATTTTTAAAATTATTTTCAGTTTTTTAGCTATATCGAAAAAAGTGAATTTTTGGAATATCTATTTTATTCTTTTTCTCCGTTATTATTAGAGATACAGAAAAACTGAAAATACTTTTTCATATCAACTTTTGATGACGTCTAACGTGGTGATACCAATTTCTCTATGAGACGTTTCGTATTCGTAGAACCATCATCAACTTTTTTAAATACGGTCCTGATAATTTTTTCACAGATTTTGAGAAGTTTTTCAATTCTGAATTCAACCATGTATTATACAAGGTGGTTTAGGTGTGTTTCGACCTATTTTTAGTCATCATCAATGTTTTTTCGAAATTCCAAAGGAAAAATGCCATCAGTTCCACTCATTTTGAAAAAAAAATTAGTCAACAAACTAATACCTCATCAATTGGTTTCAATCAACAACCCATTTCATTTTGCGGAAACAAAAATTCCATCCATACAAATTCAAAATATGTCAAGCGCTAAAACCAGGCGATGACGAAAGGCGCAGGACATTCTGTGAGTGGTATACCAGGAAATGTCAAAATTTTGCAGATTTCCCGCGAACAATCATCTGGACTGATGAAAGCATGGTCACTAATCATAGTATCTTCGATAGAAAAAATACACATTATTGTTCACGAGAAAATGAACATTTATACATTACAGCGAGACACCAACACCGTTTCGGCTTCGAATGTGGGTTGCAATATTTGGTACACGAATAATTATTGATCCTTTTATTCACCATGAAACACAGACTTCCTAACGTTATAGAAATTTGCTTGAGAATCATTTTGAGGAAGCTCTGGATGATTTATCGATTGCGGAAGTTCAGAACTGTTGGTTTCAACAAGATGGCGCTCCGGTACATTATTCCAGAGAAGTTCGTGTGTTTCCATCCAGAAAAATGGATTGGTACTCATTCTGCAGTCCCTTGGCCGGTCACCTGATTTGACAAAGCTGGATTTTTTTAGGGGATATATCAAAAACTTTGTACACGCAAATAGCTTTGATGATGAAGAAGAACTAAGGGACAGTGTCATCGAAGCATTCAATAGAATAACGCCAGAAATGCTTAGTAATGTATTTGAAGCAACTGTGAGAAGAGGATATCTTTGTACAGAAAATAATGATCATTTTGAACATTTGTTATGAATGTTTCTGAAGGTATCCTTGTCAAAGTTAAGTTGTTAAAGTAAGTCGTGTAAGGATTCATCAACAATTTTAAGCGCTGCATTGACTGATGTAGTGAAATATATTTTATTCACTTTTCAGTATTGAATAACTGATCCATCAATGTTTGACACTAAATGATCAGAAATAAATGGAACTGATGGCACTTTTTCTTTGGAAGTTCGAAAAAACATTGATGATGGATAGAAATGGGTCGAAACACATCCGAATCACCTTGTATAATACATGGTTGAATTCAGAATAGAAAAACCTTTCAGAATCTGTGAAAAAGTTATCAGGACTTTATTCAAAAAACAAAAGTTGATGATGGTTCTACGGATACGAAACGTCGCATACAAAAATCGGTATAACCACGTCAAACATCATCAAAAGTTGCTATGCAAAAATATTCTCAGTTTTTCTGTAACTCTAATAGTAACGGAGAAAAAAAATAAAATAGATATTCCAAAAATTAACTTCTTTCGATATAACTAAAAAACTAAAAATAATTTTAAAAATTTTCGAAGGCTCTTGATATGAGCCTCCGAATGCGCAACTTTTTCCCCATTTAACCGACTTCGTATCTCCTACCTTTTTCGAGATCCCCATGCTGTTCAACCTCATCTTGGACAGACTGTATACATACCTGCAGCATCCTGGACAAGGAACTGGACCTTCTTCTACAAAATGCGGCCTTGGTCCACTCACCAATGGATATTCTGACAGTATCTGTTCGCCTGGTTTGATATCTCTCGTGGCTATCAAACATTTTCCGATGACAGGATCATCCGCTATCTGTATATCGAATCAATTTTAGTGAATACTGTCTGTATGTTAAACTAGGTGAAGAATGTATTCATTTCTCCTAATTTTTGTAGCTAGATAATTTGTTGAATCACGTAAAAATGGCAAACCCACCATAAAGGTTACTTTAGTAATATATAGTCAAATAACGTTTTTGTATCAAATATACAGGGTGTCCCAAAACTCAACGTCATCCTTGATAGTCCAGCTCATGACTAAACAGAATATCGCAATATGACCTTGGTGAAATATTAACAGCATTGCAAATATTCGCCAACATCTTTTACATTGCTTTCAAACTATTCTTGGTTTGCTTACATATCGCCGACACAAACTACATTGGTTTTGATACAAATACTGATCTCATTCTGATGGAGATGCGTACTAAAGGATAGCACTGCTGAATAGACGATTGAATGGAATGAATGACACCGGAATAAGGACTTTAGGATTTAGTTTTTTTAGCCGTTTTCAAAGTTCGAAACAATGTGTTATTGCAAATTGGTGAAAATGCCCTTTATCACTTAAATTAAAAATCGAAATTTTCATGAAATGACGTTGAAAATATATTGAACTTCGAAATAACATTTCGATTTTATGGGACCCCTAACGTCGTACTGTAAACTGAAATATGATCAGTACGCTGTATTCCTCTTTCAACCAGCTTTCCAATGAGGGGCCGCAAGCCATAGGGTTGCATTTGAAATAAACATGTTGGGGTTGATTCTAGCTACCCCTGAAGGGTTATATTATCCACATTGCTCGCCAAATGTGGTAAATACATTAAAACGTTGACGTGTTTGGCGAATTTTCAGAAAAATCATTCACTCCCCCATCAGTGGCGAATTAATTCCAGTTAAAGTCTCCACCCTGTATACCAATCGAACCGCATGGAAAATTTTAGGTTTCTATTTTAGTTGAAAGTTGTGCCGATTTTCAGCACTGTGCACTGTATAGCTGGAGGAGGATACCAATTTCCAAGTTTTCAATCTAACTGCAAGTTGGAAAGCTTCTAATATGTGGTAAACGTAAATGAGCATTTATATCGATTTCCAAACTATGAACTCAAGACAAAATTCCAATTATATTATTGGGACACGTTATACAATATTTTTAGGTTGTGGGTAGACAAAGATGGATTCAGGAATATAAATTAAGTTAAACTCACCTTGAAAGGTCTGCAGTTTGTTTTGTGATTCTTCCAGTCCTCCTTCTGGTGTTCTTTATTACAGTACGATACCAATTTGCAAGCTGAACATTTCAATTCAGAGGGTGCTCCACATTTTGCACAAGTTTCACTCATTTCTAGTAATTTTGTTTGCTTTTTGATTCATGTACCCACTAACATGAATCGAATAAACACATCGACATGCAGGTTAAAAATAGAAGTTTCTATTTTTGAAAATATAGAACGGATCTTTTACAGTGACTTCCATAATAACTATTTCGGACGGCACATGAACAAACATTCCTGGGAGTTCCTCTTCCTTTCGGAAATTATCAAAATATTGAATTGTTTCATGATATACAGGATATTCCATACAAAGTGACCAAGATGAGGTTGCACAGCATGAGGATCTCGGAAACGATAGGAGATATATGGATTCGGTTGAATGGAGAAAAAGTTGCGCATTCATAGGGCCATTCAAATAGCCTTCGAAAATTTTCAAAATTATTTATAGTTTCTCACTTATTCCGAAGAAAGTGGAATTTTGGAAAATCTTTTTTTCTACAAACGTCAAAAAATGACAGTAAGGTTCTCACATTGACAACAAATTGCGAAGTGACACTTTTTTCAGTTTCCTACGTTACTATGATACCTTGCACAAAACAATACGCGAAGTAAAACAGTACGCGAAGTACACATACCTAAATATGAGATATTTATATTTCAACTTTATGGTCCTCAATCAAGCAAATATCCACGAAATTGTTTATTTCTGAATGTTCAACAATAACTTTGTTGGGAGGCCTTTTATGCGTTCAACACTATTTTGTATATCAAAAGCTGAGCATATTTTTACTTTAGAACTATATTTTTTGACGTTTGTAGGAATTGGTGTTTTCCATAATTTTCTGGAGGTTATATGCCTCGGGGAACAACTCCCTTGGCAATGTGTTCCAGAGCCTCGCTGTTCGTTAGATGAACGCGAGTCTTCGGAAATAGATGTTCTGCAGGTCTCCAGAGTGACCACGCAGAGGTGCGAAGCCTCAACTCGACGGGTTAAAACCCGAGAACACTCGCGACTAGAAAGTTACGTTGATCCTCGCGGCTGGTCGTTTTGACCGACTATAGGAAATCCCCAAATTTGTCAGTATTTGTGGTGTTGTGTTTATCAAAGGTATTCAGCTATTGATACACTTCTTATGAAAACTCTATCGACTATGAACACAAAGTTGGTATATTTCTGAACAAAAATGAAAAGTTACGTTGATGCTCGCGGCTGGTCGTTTTGACCGACTATAGAAAATCCCAAAATTCGTCAGTATTTGTGCTGTTTATTGAAGGTATTCAGTATCTATAAAGAGTTATCTACTATTATCTAATTGATTTTGCCACATTTACTTGATTATAACCCCCAATTTCCTTGTAGACAATGAATAATTTGGTACAAACCTCTAAATGCTCGCGCGTCGGTGGAAACGACCAATTGTCAATTTTCAGCTCCAACCAAACAACACCCTCTGACCGAAACCAAACGTGAACTGGCCCGCCAGTTCGACTTAGGAAGACTTGTGAGCGGGTCGTAAAATCCCGGCCCAAATAAATGTGGGAGGGGCAAAATTAATGCTTGGCGGCAAAACGACCGTGGTGCGAGCGTTCTCGGGTTAATCTCGCGGGGATTGCCAAGGGAGAAACAAATGTTGATATTTCAGAAGAGCATCGTCCATAAAAATATCTATAAAATAGAGCCAGACCGACAACTTTTCTACGGTGTTCCAGAGAAGTGAGTGAGTTAGTGAGCAAGGCATCACCCACGAGACGAATTGCCCTTTTTTGAACAGCATCCAACAGTTTCAGGGTATGTTTGGGTGCTGCACTCCGAATATGAGAACAGTATTCCAGGGCAGGTCGTATATATCTGTGCCTTAGAGATCATAAGCAGCTGACTGAAAGTGAAATAGCTCCTGGCCCTAAACCAAGTTTTTGAGGTGCACTTTCAGCAATTGCAGATCTCACGTGATTTTCCCAAGAAAGGTTATTGCTGATAGTAATACCAAGCATCGACATGGATGTCTTCAAAGGTATGGTTACTCCTGACAAGCTTATGTTGGGCACAGTGAGATCGGCTTTTCTAGAGAAAAGGCATGCTTGTGTTTTGTTTGCATTGAAATCTACCGAGTTATTGGATCCCCATTCGAGAATTGTTGCCAAGTCCATATTTATGCTGTCAACATTTCTTCCTCGTTCGTTTCTGATATGCCTGGCTGATATTGGAGCCCTGGAAGAGAAGGCGGTATGCAGGGTACTATCTGTTGAAATATATTGAAAATTAATTCATATGTAGTAGGCATACATCAGTGCCATCTCTTATTGTTTAGGTCATGCCACATTAAGCACTTCCCAACAAACAATGTACTACCGGGAAGTTATTGGCCCAATGCTTTGTTTGCTGGGGGAATGACTTCAGCGGCAAAAATCTGTTGGTCTTTCACATTCTTGTAGTCCCTTTTCCAGTGAAGAAAATAAGTATTGGCCCTTCATCGTTTTATTGACTTTGGTGTTGCCGGGAAATAAAACAACTTCGTTTACTCAATCTTTAAAAAGGCCAATGCTGGGCATTCAACCTATTTTGCTCCAGATAACACAGTATGGTCATTGTGATTGTGTATTCTCCCAATCATACGAAAGAAAAAACGATGAAAGAATTCATATTCCCCAAAAACCTGAATTTTTTCATATTTGAGGATAATCATGATATATATGGCATCATTATAGGATCATAAGATCATTTCAATTAAGTCGTGAGTATGATCTACAGAAATTTGGGATTTTTTGACATATGACTCAAAACATTTTTGGGTATAGGTATGATATCTGCATTATTGATTTGCTACTTTGAAGAACGTTTAATGAAAAATGCTTCTTTCCGCAAAATTTTAATAATAAAATAGTTTGCCATATGAATAGATCAGAAACTATTGTGAGAAATAATAATACATGATTCTCAACGTGAATAGATGTTATCAGATATTTGAACGTAGTTTTCTGAAGTTTTCAATTCTAGTCAACTTTTTTATATGATAATAATTTTCGATATTATCGAAAATAAAAACGGTACATTATATTTTTACACTGGAACAAAATCTACTTTTTTGACTTACCTCGTATACGACTGACAAAAATCGATATCTGATATTTGCATTTTTGGTTATAGACCTTGCAGAAGTCTTTATGTTAAATGACTTTTTTTCGTAGAATTAATAATGAAAAAGTTTTCAATTTATTGTCACGTTTTTCAGACATACTGTATATTTTCCTAGAGTGATCCAAGATTATCCGAATGGAATGATATAATGGATTATTTCTCTCAGAATATCAAAGTATTAGTTGAAATATTATCGACAAAATATATCAGTTTCAAATATTCTCTTATCCGTTTCGATTCGTTTACATCTCACCGATACTCACTACATATGAGTTTAGATACTAGTACGAGTAGCTAGTCATGTTCTCATAGAGATATTCCAACAACATATAATCTCCAAAAGTTCAAAAAAAATTCCAATACCTACCTCCTGTCCCTATCCCCCCTAGGAACGCACGATGTTCTTTGAACATTATAGGGATTCCCTTTCGTGCGCTTCAAGCGATAAAAAAAAAAAAAAAAAAATATAGCCGTTGCAAAAATACGACTGAATGGATAGGACACCTGGAGAATGGACCATCAGGGCTACCAAGTCACGAAAATATATGAGGTCAACCTCCAAAATGAAGATCTTATCAGATCGCAATCTCATCATCCAAAGTCGAGATATTTTTTATACTTCGTTCCTATGCCAGTATGGGGATTTGAAGGCCCATCAATGGAATGAATGCCGGCTGATTGACCGTCGATCGGGAAACCGTCGGCCAGAGTGTCCTTTTTCTTGATGGCCCCGTACCAACGCTAGTCATTTTGCCGCAACATCTATAGTTATGGGAGCAATGTATTGGGCCTTCAGTTTACCGCAATTGAATGTTTGCTGGGTTGTGTGTTGATTCAATTAGAACTAGAGAACACTGTAAGATGTTGTACAGTTAATGTATAGAGTAATGTATAGATGTCACTATTTCGGGTTTTAGTTAGTCAAGTACACGTTCTAAAACACTGAGCAAACGTTTTTATTTTTACTTCGATTTCCACCCAGTTTTCCTCATCAAAAAGCCTGCTTTCCAACACTATCATCCGCGAAGCTGTGTACTGGACATGAAGTTGCTTCCAACAAATCGTTGATATGGAGTTAGAAATAGTGTTGGTGCTAGAATTGATCCATGCGGAACACCAGCATTTATGAAAAGAGAGTCAGATGAAACACAGTCGACCATTATACATGGAGAGGTCTGCTTGAGAGAAAACTAGCTATCAGAGAATGAAGGATATAGATGTCTCAATGTCATTAGGTCATCAATGAAATGTTAATGGACCATCAGCATGCCATCAGCCTATCGCCTATCAGATGCATTTTATTATTTTCGACAATCGACAATGGGCCTTTCCAGTAGATCTGCTTGAGAGAAAGCTAGCTAGCAGAGAATGAAGGATATAGATGTCTCAATGTCATTAGGTCATCAATGAAATGTTAATGGACCATATCAGCCTATCAGATGCATTTTATCGACAGAATTTTTTCGACAATCGACAATGGGCCTTTTCAGTATCGAAAAATTTGTCCCTTCCAATAATTTTGTGAAGATAAGTTGAGAACGTTATCCTGACCATCACAGGCTGCATATAATTCGTCAGAACGTATTCTATCATTACCGTATTATATCAAAATATATTCGATCAAAATGGTAATTCAACAGAACCGTAATTTAACGGAGCAGTAATTCATCGGCATGCAAAACATCATAACGTAATCTATCATGTTGTAAAATGAAGGAATGTACTTCATAGGAACGTAAAACATCATTCCGTACTTTATAGAAATGGTAATTCATCATAACCGTATTCCATCAGAATGGTATTTCATCAGAATCGTATTCTGACAGCACGGTGAATCAACAAAACCGTATTGAATAAAAGAGGCAATTCATCAGAACCGTATTTCGTCGCTTCAGTAATATATCATAATGGTAAATCGTCATGATGGTAAATTATCAGAACTGTAATCCGTCGGAATATTATTTTGTC